GTGACGTCAGACGTCAGTGTCTCAACCAATCACAATCGAACGATAATCGCTTTCGTTTCGTTCATGTTTTTTACTGTCTAACCCTGCAGTAGTTTTTGAGTTATTTAAATACATACAAAAACACTAATATTTTCTATTTATAATATTAGTATAGATGAACACAGTGTACATTACTGATTCATCAGTTAATAATATAGATTTTAAACAGTTAAATAAGTGTGGTAATATTCTGTGAAATGCTCGTCCTTCAGGATAAAGGTAATCATCATAAATAAACGATATAAGCTAGCTTATAGCAGACCAATGATGTCCAAACTTATAGAATTCATCAATACCCAATAGTTGCTAATATTGTACCAAGTATTCAGTAGGCTGATTAATTGTCGTAGACCTCATAAAAAGACGATGCCCTCATTTAAATGATCTATTAGTTTCTTTATTACAAACTGAACGTCTTCGCATTTAACGCATATAAAAAAAAAAACAGCTGAACTAATTTAAAGCGAGCGCCAATTCCGACTAATGGCTCAGCACTAATTAAGGTAATTAGAAACAAGGAAAGACGAACCTAAATAGACAACGTAGACGCGCCGAGCTATACCTAGTTATAAATCGTATAGACGTTCTGACGTTATAACGTTACGAATCGTGAATATCGATGTATCGAATACGAACGAGCTTGGCAAGCTTGCGTGTGTGGCGGAGTGTACATGCATTAGAGGTGAACCGGCAAGGGAAGGTAAATGCTATTTGCAAGTTGCCGTTCCACCTGGCCTCGCTCTCTAGTGCTCTTGGACTACCAAATTGAAACGTGCCTTAACTGACGCTAAATAAATTCGCTCCCTATTATTTTTAACCTTCAGTTCCTATATATTTTACTTTACGAATGTTGGCGAATGATTCAAAATGAAATGTTTCGGTATCTTGAATAAAATGTTTGTATATTTCCATCCCCAATGCTACCAATCGAGTTTGAAAGATCAAGTCCAATGTTTGATGTGGGGATGCTATTATTGATGCCATTAAAATTGTACAATTTTATGACAAGGGTCGGCCTTGCTCTACAATAATTTCAAATTGAATAGTTACATTTAAAATGATGCAAATTAAAATGAATTTTGATTATTTTAATATTATATGGTCTATGTTGATGAATATACATTTGGGAATAAGCAATTAAAAGCTATGTTTCGTTTCAAACTGCACATTTTGGAATACATAAATTGTGACCTATTTTGTGGTTTCGTCTGCGGTTTTTATTTGATGTTTTGTTTGCGTTGTGGATTATCGCACGGGCAACAATTCATAGATACGTCACGCACCCGTAATTCCCTCGGGATAGCGCTTAAAAATATATATTGCAAACGTTCTTTCAAAGGAGGCTATTATTCTGCCATGTGTAAATATATTTTTGATAATAAATTGCTATTGACAAACAACAAAGCTTAAATTTATAAGTTTACCTTGATGCAAAATATCGCGTAAATGTTTACTTTACACCACTTTAAAGCGGGAATAATTCTTGAAATTTTGACTACCAAATTTTGACTAATCCAAAAAATTACATTATGAGGAATAAAACTCGGTTAAACTTGTGCTTAAAGCAAACAGATATATTTAATTTAATCTTATATCGCTAAAACACATTGTTGTCTACACAAATACGTAACTAGTGACTAGATTATAGGTATATTTCAACTCATAATTCTTTTAAGAAATATAACTCTTTCCGTGGCAGGGGTCGATTTCTAAACAACTGCACGGTATTGCCGGTTGCCGAGAGCCGGGGGCCGCGAACACCTCGGTATTGATCTCAGTCAGTACGTGTGCTCATCTACACCCGCGATACCTTTTGCAAATATCGCTATACGTTTTCTTCCCTACAGATGCTATCGCTTCTATAGGTATGATTTAAATTCTAAATATCGCGTTCTTTGTGATTATCAAAAACCTTGGCGTATGGGACCGCACATATTACTTTCTCAAAGGCCGGCAACTCATCTGCAGTCCCTCTGGTATTAAGGATGTTCATGAGTGTCGATAAACATCTCGGTGTTATCGGTGCTTGTTTCCCCCTTCTCTTATAAAAAATAATGGCATGCTGAACTGACCTAGTTGTGTACAACAGCTGATTTTCTAAAATTCTTTTATAAATTGTACTAATTTGCCTTTGTAGAATTTGTCATTAATGTCCAATTCAATATTGTATGATTATATCTTTGATGTTCTTATTATTTGCATCGCTAAGTTTTGGCACGAGTTGGATTTTGATGTTTGTCTACGAAAATAAGAGCCTACGCAGCTGCTACGCTAGTTATTAATATACAAATTTCGTTTAATATGAACAACCAATAAAACATTTTTTTAGTGTTGATTAGAATACATAAAATAATGATGCACAAATAGGCACGGTTAAAGTAAACATAATAAAAAACATGTTTTCATAATAAAAGACATCTTATACGGTTTAGTTCTCACAACTATATTTAGCAATGACAAATATGTCCGGGTTGCGAAGTTCATAACTCTGTGTCGTGTCGGTCACCACTGTTGACCTCTTTATTGCTATTGTTTTTTTTTTTTAAATTGCAAGAGCCACTACACACGCTCATGTTTATCTAACCAGTCGGAACGTTCAGAAAAATCTAACGTGTCTGGGCAAAATTGAGAATTGAACATCCCGGTTTTGTTAGATTTTTGTCAAATAAAACTGAACGTGTATTGCGGGCTTAAGGTTCACGGAAACGTTTATTGCTAACTGCAGTTTTTTTGTCATCTGTATCACTCTAGAAAAACTATTTTTTTTTTGTAATTTGAAACATGTGAAAAAGGCGACATAAGTCATTTGAATTAATAACACTTATGACTTCGTTCAAATAACCTCGACTCTGTGTGACACGTACATCATTACCAACTACGTAATCGCCTTAATAGCCGACAATCAAACGCTCCGACAGAACACGGGATAAAGTTGTTTTTGTACCTAGTTACCTGAGATACTTTTACGTAGCAAATAAACTAGATTTATTTATGTATAGGATCTCACTTAACTTATCTTTGAATATTTACAAGGTGATGAAGGTTACTTTTTAAATCAATTGAATATGAGAAAGAATGGTTTTATACCTATTTTACAGAGAAGACCGAAATGGCTTGAATACAAATTAATTTTGTGGCCTTACTAAGTACAATACTCTTCAGTCTTCTCTAATTTTGCTTAAATAATGCTCTACAATATTCCATATGCTTAATATAAATCTGTTCGCAGGTACAAGGTGGAGGTGGCAGGCAAGAGCCTGCCAGTCCTCACCACATTGGACAAGGGACGGTACGGTGTGATCGTCTTTGAATCACTCAACAAATACGCAAATATGGACAAGTGGAATCGAGAACTTCTGGACAAATACTGCCGGGAGTATGCCGTGGGTGTCGTCGGATTTGCAACGCCAGGAGAGGAGACATTGGTCGGAGCTCAGTTGAAAGGATTCCCACTATTCATGCACACCAATCTAAGACTTAAGGTACCTTAAAACAGTATTTTTCTGAAACCCTTTTTGTACAAAATTATTTAATTCATACGCTAATTGGATTCTATGAATTCAAAACAATTTTATGTTTGTTTTCAAATTCGCAGTAAATTCGAAATGGGGTTTCCCAATGTGGGTAAAATTTCATGTGAAGTGAACGTTTATGGTTTATATTAAAGTTTTCCGCGAAAAGGGCGTTATTATGTTCTATACATTTTCACAAATTTTCATGAATTGATAAAAATAGACATTACTATGATACTGATAATTATAGTATTTCCCTGATATTAAGTGAACGCAACAAATTGAATACCTCTTTATAGAAAAACCATCTATGACAGGAATGTTTGTTTCAAATTGTTTTTTTTTTTTCGATATCTTGTTTGCTCAATAGGATGCTACGCTCAACCCCGCATCACCAGTGCTGCGACTGTCCCGCGCGGGGGAGACAGCGTGGGGTGCGCTGCCTGGCGACCACTGGACTGTGTTCCGCGCCAATAGCACAACATACGAGCCAGTTGCCTGGGCAGTGCGACAGAACGAATACGGCTCCAGCGGTAAGTATACCAATTATCTTGTCTTGATAAAAAATTACAAAACGAATTATAATTGGAATTCACTAAATCGTCTATCTGAACCCCATGGGGTACAGGGAAGAAATTCATGAACCCCTACTATATTTGTATACACTTCCGTCGTGTATAAAAATATAGTAGGGGTTCATGGAAGCCAGTAATATTTCGAAAGAGGTCTATGAGAAGATATGTTTGGTATTCTCGAATTTATAAGATTATTTCTTGTATGTATGATCTTGCTTACATATGTGGTAGGTAGACCCGTCTAGACTTAGACTGTTGCATCATAGTTCTAGTCCAAATACTTTAGCCGTAATGCTCTTCTACTACATGTATTTCCTTACTTATAACTTGGCGTATGAAGTTTATATTAATACGTCTGTAGTTCATACGACAAGCAATAGTTAAGTGAATATCTCAAGTGATTATGTGCAGAAGTGGTGCTTAAGTTGCATCTCGTGTCTGCTTATGCGCTAATTAACATCTTCCAATAAGGCCATTACTGCGTTAATGTGTTTCCGCAAGAGCAGCGCAACGCTTCGCAGTTAACTTAGTCATACCAACATATGTATACAAAATATTGTATCTTAGGTGCAATATAAGGCGCAAATTATATGTATTAACTTTATATATCTATATTAATATAATAAAGCGTAAACACACACTACTTTGTGGCGTAGTTTTAAACACTTACGACACGCTTTATACTGTATATTTTCATGCTATTCGACTTAGGGCATCCATAACAAAATTTAAAAAAAAACCTTCATGTGCTGCCAACATCAAAGAAGCAAGGTTGCCATGGTTGTTATTTGTGCAATTAATTTTGACATTTAAAATTGAGAATTTGACAGATGTAAACAATGAAATAAAGTTTTTATTTCATGCGGATGAAGCCGCACGGGAACAGCTAGTTTAAATTATGTGCTTTTTAGGTATGTATCCGACCAGTCATATAACTTCTAGAACTTGATAAGTTTTGTTAAAAAATACATGGAAAAGTCTTTTATTTTAAGTTTCATACAAATGTAGAATTTACGGCGATCGGAAACAATAGCTCTACTATTCGTTTTATTTAATGTTAAAAAACCGTTATTATTGTACGATGTTTTATTACAAAAATAATTATAATTTGCAATATTTTTGATCTAAATAAGCCTTGCTATTATCATTATTATTGTATTGCGTGCAAGAAAGTTTTTATACTTTTGAAGTTGCCGTTATGCAAAACTATTGTTCGGTATAAAAGATCAACAACAAACAAGACCCAAAAGTTTTCGTATCAATAGCCCCTATTTTACGATGAATTGTGAAAAAGATGAATATATTTTCTTTTGAGATATTTTACTTAACAACTAGGTATTAAATAACCGTATTGTGTGAGAAATATAGGAACTATAATAACTTAAGTATTGATAGAAACATTAAGTTATTTTCCAAGGTAAAGTGACTGTATAAATAATTTATTATTATTTTCACATTCCAGTTCGAAGTGACTTGAATTTTTACGATAAAATCTACGCTACTTATCATAATTATTACGAAATACTTTTCAATAATACAAATATACGCGAAAGAATTCTTCAATAATCAATAAGCACTCATTCATATTTGAACCATTGTTCTCTTTGTAAAAAGCATATGTTTTTTATTCTTTCATTGTTTCTACCTTATTCCCCGAAGTCGAAAAGTCTGTAAAACTAGCTCCGTAGTCAGTAACATTCGAGCCGGAAGTTTTTTCCGCCTTCGTTTTTCAAACAACGTAGGTGTAAAATATTCCGTACGCCAGAGATTTGCTCTCCGGGCGAAATCGTAACTTTTCCTTTGACGAATCCTCTATTTTTGTTTCCCTTTAAATGCAAATGACTTGCTTGTGTTTGTTATTACTGTAAAAATAATGGATAGTATCGAAAAAGGTACACGAAAAAATCTGATGGCTTTAACCTTTTAAGTCCAAGATACCATATACAATTTTTGACTCTTGTAAATTGTTTTGTATTAGCGTGAAGATGCCAATTTAGTTCCTTGCGAATATGTTGTAGTTATATAACCATTTAAACTTTATGTCTAGCAGTTACGTACAGGACATAGAACAAAACAATTTATGTTTACGCTTATCTCATGTTGCAATGTACAAAGAACTCGTAGTCGTAATTCAGTTTGAATCATAATACTAGGAGTAATAAGACAATGCTTGTGACAGAAGAGCGCGTCCCACTGGCAACAGTGATACAAGACCACGGGCGAGTGGACGGCGTACAACGCGTGCTGTTCGGCGCTGGCTTGCAGTTCTGGCTACATCGGTTACTGCTTCTCGACGCCCTTAGCTACCTCAGCCACGGACAGCTCAGTCTCAGCCTCGATAGATGGATACTTGTCGATATTGATGACATATTCGTTGGAGAGAGGGGTAAGTGCTATTTAATGTTTATATATGTGATTGATTGATCTGAAGATTCTGTCGATAGATCATCTTATAGTAGACCTCATTATTGCATTTAATTTGTCATCTTATCTGGGTAAAAAAGATGATTATAAATTCAATTTTATAAGACAAAACATGATATTTTGACATGACAAGATCTTTATGAATTGTTTAAATAAAGTTAAGTTAAAATAATAAAGATAAAGTCTTCGATAAATTGAAGTTATTATTAGAGCTTCGTAAGATTTAAGATCGGAGCTCAAGAGCTGAACTCCTCCCTGTTTCAACTTTGCTGTTAAGTCCCGATGCTCATTATTTATGCGAACTTGTTAAGACAGGTTTAAAAACTCTAAAGTTCACTAAACTCCTATTACCATGCCAAAGACAAATTGACATTTCATTTATAGAAATTTTACGCTCTTCGTGAGTTTCCATACTAATGAAAATGTGGACTGAATCTCTTTGTCTTGTTTTGTAACTCATATTGTGTAAATATGTAATTTCACTTATTCCCATGAATAAGCAAAAATCTGTCGCATTTTACCTTCTCAGTACGTGGAAAGAAGGAAATACTAGACGACTATTTTTTGTCCACGAATTCCAGACTGAAAAGGAAGCAAATTCAGTGCCTTGCTGATATGAAATGGAGACATCTTTTTGAAAGTTTTTAAATTAAAAATTTAGTACAAAGGTTGAAATTGACAACACGGTTCTTAATTCGCATTTGTACCATTAACTTAATAGAATTATAGCCTAAAAATGATTTAAACAGTAATATGCGTATACAAATGAACATTTGTCCCTTTTACTGAGACCAAATGAGCAATTGGATACAGGGATTTTCCAAAATATATTTTTTTTTGCCAATAAATACACGCAGTTGCAAATGCGTTACCTATCTTTAATCAACAGAACGCACAGAAGGATGTTATTTCCTCCGTCTATAAGTTCTATTCTTAGCCAAAATAATTATGAATGTATTCTTATATCTATACTATTATAATAAAGCGTAAACACACAGTTCTTCGTTGCCTAAGATGTCAGCAATTACAGCATATTTTTGAATGATTCTTTTAAAATAAAAAGTCCTACACTTACGTCATGCTTTAGGCTATATATTCTCACGCTATTAAATATAGGGGTAAATATTTTGGATAAAAACCCTAATGTGGGAAAGAGACCATAAGTGGCTGCCAACATCAAGAAAGAAAGACTACTAAGGTTTGTCATGTCATGTTTTTTGACAGTTTGACAAATGTAAACAAGGAAAAAAATTTTCATAATTTCATGCGGATGAAGCCGCACGGAAACAGCTAGTACAGTTTTAAAAAAAGTAATTTACCTAGGTACTCGACTACATGAAGAAGACGTGTCAGCCCTGCTAGCGTCCCAAGCCGCGTTGCAGAGGCTTGTAGCCGGCTTCAGGTTTAACCTGGGCTTCAGTGCAAAATACTACCACCACGGTACTCCGCTAGAGAATAGAGGCGACGACGCATTACTACGGAATAGAGAACATTTCACGTGGTAAGTTTCCAATGAATCAGTGGCATCATCTATACATATAATAAAGTTAGAGTGTCAGTTTTAATATGAAAAGAATCCTAGATTTCGGGAAGATGATGTATTTGCGTTGTTAATAACGAAAATTGTATTTAAAAAATATTGTCTGTCTATGTGTATGTCCGCAAGCCGCGTTTATTCCGGGTAATTTTTCCGACTTTCACTGAAGGGTAGCTGACATAGACAGACATATTAAAGATTACTTTTTTATCTTAATATTGCGTAGACAAAGTCGCGGGCAACAGCTAGTTATTTAATGTATCTAGACTAGTAGATATAAAAAGACAAAGTTCCTAACCTCTATTTTATCTATTAATACTAGCCTATTAACTGTCACTATCATAAACACGCTATTGCGTCATTAATCATACCGGCTTTATGAGTTCTGTACCGACGTCATGATAATAATAGTGAACCAGTATCAAACAAATATTATTTTTCCATACATATAATTTGATGACATGAGTTAGTTTTACCTATAAACTGTAATTATGTGATACATCAAGCGTTTATAAATTGTATGGAATGACACGGCAATGTTTCGATTGTGACACTTATATGAACACATTGTCTGTCTTCAAGAGAACGTGAAGAATGAAATATGGCGTTTCCACTACATGTATAAACATGTATGTCGACAGTGGAAACGCACCTTAATATGATTAAAACAAAGTAGTGTTTATATTATCAATGTAAGGAACAGTTTCATTCCTTTGATGTCTGTCATCCTTGTATGAAGTCACGAGCGTAGGTAATGTCTCGTCTGCGCATACATAAAATGTTGATGCAAAATTAAACTCTTAACATTTGTAATAAAGCATATTTTTGAGACAAAGTTTATTTCTAAACGTTTCCGTCCATTCTGAATGACGTCTTTCATTAATCCTTGCATAATACAAAGTATCCTTTTTATATTTATAAAAAAATGTATCTTAGATATAACAAGACACATTCAAACTTCTACATATTGAAATAACAATGAACCAATTAAAGTAGACCCTTATACCGTTTCTCACTCTTGAATTTGTAACTTATAATAAGAAAATCTCTACCAACTCTCTTGCTCTGTATTCCCTCTCCCTCCCTCTCTATCTAATCAAAATAAATCAAGCTATTTCTACCATGTCCCAGTTAAATTACAAGAAATCGCCGTTGAGTACAATCACGACCTAAGTAAACACATTATACCAGGTTTTGCCACATGTGGAACCACCAGCAGCCGCACCTCTACAACAACGTGTCTCAGCTTGAAGCAGAGATGATGTTGAACAAGCAGTTCGCGTTAGAACACGGTATACCTACCAACTCGTGTTACTCCGTGTCTCCGCACCACTCGGGCGTGTACCCGGTGCATGAGCCGCTGTACGCGGCGTGGCGCAATGTATGGGACGTGCAGGTCACCAGCACTGAGGAGTACCCGCATTTAAGACCTGCCAGGTAAACTATTCTATATCATCATAATCTTCCTCCTTATCCTACTCCCGTAGGCGCAACAGGTTTTTGTCCTCCGCATAACTCTGTCATACGTCATTTCATCACACCCTTCTTGATCATGTCACCATTCACGCAATCCATTCACCTCTTTCTAGGTAAACTAATTTATATACTAGAAAGAAAGATATTTATTATATTACATTTTTATTTCACGCGGACGAAGTCGTAGCAACTGCTATTCTATATTATAATACTTTTCGACTTATTTATCGTTTTTTTTTTTCAAAACAAACTGTAATTTTTGTACACAATTTCTGCCCTTCTATGAATAAAGATTGAGCTACGCATTATATTCAAATCAATCGTATCGAAACGGTTGAATAATGATGATAAATTAGCGTTAATAGAATCGATGAGTACAATAAACCATAAAGGAAGTTATAGTCCCGCTAAAAGCAGTTGAAACCGGAAGTAAGATGGCGAACGCTTCCACAGACTGACATAAAAAGTAGCCGTAAAAGTGAACGACAACGTACCAAAGCAATTGCCTGCCTCTTGAATAAAAGTATTAGACGCATTTAATACTGTCTTGATTTTGTTTTGCTAAACTTTGCTCTTGTTATTCTTAACATAGAATTTAAAAAAATAATAATAATAAAATATAATTCACTAGATTTCGCCCATGACTCCGTCCGCTTGTAATTAACAAGAAAGAAACAAAATTAAGTAGTCTATGTGCTTTTCCAAACTCTTATACGTCTATGCCGAATTTCATCGAGATCTGTTCAGCCGTTTAGGCTACAAACTCTAACAAACATCCATCCATCTAAACTTTCGCATTTATAATGTTAGTAAGATATATAATTCATAGACAATTTAGGATACACGCTACATAGTTGTTAAATTTCTTTATTTTGATTGATTCCACATTATTGATCTATGTGTTGTAGGTATTAAATTGTAAAATACGTATTGTGTTAGCGTTTGTTGATCTTTGTGCTTTTTATTTATTCAAATCATGGAGTATTAACAGAAGGCGTGCTCAAGCAATACGTGGCCGTGTTACTTTGTATTAAGATTTACGATAGCAATAAAATGAGGAATAAATTTAGATGATATAAATTATGAGCATGAAATAATACGTATTTCTTTCTCCAAATATAAGAGAATTTATGAAAATTATTCCAGATTTGTTTCAAATAAATTATCTCTTTGTCCTTTTTTATTTCAATTAAATACATGTATACATTTCGTTTATCTGAACATAAAATTAAAATATAACGTTATTATTAAACTTCTCATAGTAATATTTAATGTGAAACTAATTTGATACACGAAAGTGAATTATTACTCGCCTTAGGCACATAAGATAATGAAACTAACCAATCAGCTAATGATACAAATAGAGTGTTGGACTATTTGCATATTCTCATCGACAAATTAAAATAATTGATAACTTCAACTCTTATAATGCCAATTAAATGGTAAAACGTATTTTAGACAACCCTAAAGTGAAACATGGTTTTATAATTGACTGAAGATTTTTTATTGTAATTTAGCTTTTGTTTGTAATAGTAAAGAAACAAACAAATATAGCCGATAATGAGAATAATAGTGATAGGGATAGATGTTTGTTAGAGTGTAGCCTAAACTGCTGAACGAACCTCGATGAAATTAGGCATAGATGTAGTCTGAAAGAACGCATATGCTACTCAATTTTTTTTTAATTCCACTCGGGCGGAGTCATGGGCGAAAGCTAGTTAGTCTCACAATACGATTAGTGCAGTACCACACAGCGTGTGTCTTTTATCAGTACCGTGACCCACGCTCTGACATGAACTAATGTCTCTGATAATTTTATTCCATTGAAGTGATTACAAATTGTGATTATTTCCAAAGAATTTTATTAAAACAAACTTGTAATTAAGTTAATAGGTCGTCCGTTCCGAAAGATAATATGCAATAGGATTGTATTTATTTCAAACAAATGGTACAAACGTTTTATACTATTGTCCTGTATATAAAATTTATTTTATTAATGCGTGTTAATTTAACGTGCGTTGTAATAACGCGCATTAAAGAGCGTTATAAAACAAATGCATAACTATGTCTTTCCAAATCCAGATGCTTCTTATCGTGCACTGTTGCATTTTGAGCGCTAAGCAATGTAAACAAAGATGGTTTTAAAGCGTTCAATATTAGAGACCCGAACACCGAGGTTAGCGCACCGTTTTAAAAGCGCTCGTGCGAATGCGCCCTTGATTAGATTTTACCCTTCGACTGCAACATTATTCGTCTTTGTCATCACCAAGTTGCCGTTGTCCCTACGGAGGGTCGGCGCAGTATGTGCTGCTCTTCCATACATCTCTATCAGGCGTTATATCTGAATTGCCCTTCCTAAGCCATTTTAACAAACTACCAATACTTTCTTCAGTCTTCCTCTACCTTTGTATCCACATTCTTAATATTTTTTTTGTTTATCTGTCATCTCGCATATTATGTATATGTACCAGTAATATTGTACAGATTGCGCCGTGGCTTCCGTCACCGCGGTGTGATGGTGTTGCCGCGTCAGACGTGCGGTTTGTTCACACACACGCTGCTACTGGAGCGATATCCCGGCGGCCGGCAGCGACTCGACCGCTCCATACAGGGCGGGGAACTCTTCCAGACTGTCATCAACAACCCTGTAAGTCATACCTTAGTAAGCTAGGGTTTTCACTGCCTCATTCCTAAACAAATATATTCTCAGTCCATTACACAGTTCTTTTTCACATTGAAAACATTGTGGTGTTTAATAGTAGAAACTTATCTTTAGAATATTTAATACAATAAACCATATGTTACCAAAATAATATAAAAATAATTGACTTGTTGGTTGCCAAAACTACATTTGATCGTAGAAATAAAATGCCTTAAACCCGAATTATTTCTACTAAACATTATGAAAAGTTGTGTTATCAGAGATAAATATTTCCTAGTTAGATCATATGCATTAGTGAAAAACTGCTTTCATCATTTTCCGTCGAAAAAACGTTGTAATAACAACACTTTACGAGCGAATCCGTCCCGGTATTTGCTAATGGATGGCGTACGAACTGCGCGTATTTTTGACATTTTTGTAGAGAAGGGACACCATTCGTCGCGCACAAAAACGGATTAATGTTGCTACAGGACAACATTAGTTTGATTTGGGTTCGTCCAAAATCAATATATCATGTTGACACGGATATGGCTGGACTAATGTATCACAGCTATCGTCAAAAAAAGATTTCAGAAGCAAGCTTGTATTGTAAAGTAACGTAACATCTAAAATTCTCATAACAGTGAAATTCTACCTTTATCTACGTTCAAGAATATAAATTTATAGTTCGCTTCAATTTTAATTAAACCACCATTAATCCGAGTGACCGAAATTTAATTAAAGTCATAGAAGTGCTTGTCATCGGGTCGAATATCGGAATTACGAACTAGCCTAGATTTTCTAAAGTTAGTTGCATATTACTTTCGTCGACATTATTAATTTGATATTAAAACAAAATTATATCTTACTAGCTTTCGCCCGCGACCCCGCCCGCGAGCCTGCCCGCGTGGAATAAAAAAAACCAAAGCAAGTAGCCTATGTGTTATTCCAAACTATCCTCTACATCTATGCCAAATTTCATCGAGATCCCTTCAGCCGTTTAGGCCACAAACTCTATCAAACATCCATCCATCTAAACTTTCACATTTATAATATTAGTAAGAAATAAGATTAATTTTTAGTCAGTTTCTTATAACAAAACTAGACACGTAGTTAAAATTATCAGATTTGTTAATATGTTTACGGTCATAGCATAATCATTTTATTGACTTTTACATCGATATTACTTGTCTTTTGCTCATAATCGATGACCTAATATTTATCGAACCAATTCAACGTTAAACCGTAAACCTGTTGCATGAGGAAAACCTATAAAAGAATTGCGCGTCGAGCCAAATCGGTCCGTTTAGAAAAACACCGCGGCACAATCTCCAATACCCTTTGACCGGGCTTTACAATTTTCCCTATTGCTTTCATAACAAAATTTGTATATTTTTATGTATACTGGATTATATGTATGTAAATTTCATTGTTCACTTCCCTTAGTGTTATGTAGTTATTTGGTTTTTAATTAAGTCTTGTTTAATTTAAGTTAAAGCTTTGTTTCAATAAGTATTCATAGTGCTAAGTGACTTCTCATTTTCATTTATTCACAATATTATGAGTCGTCTAGAAAGACTTTCCAAGAAACAGTATCGTAGTAATTTTTTACGGCGACATTCCGTGGAGTTTAGCTCCTTTACAATTCGAGACGTCTTTGCTTTGACCATTTCTTAATTACTTCTTGCTTTTAAAATATTTTACTGGCTTCCGAGAAATACATTTTAGATATAATATTGTGTGATACTGTCACATTGAGTCGGTAATTTAAACTAAGGGTGTCCCTCAGTATAACTCTACTATCTTTAATCTACACTAAGGGAAGCATGGCTAGTGCGCCTGTTAGATTTCAACCATTAGGACCATTGTACACTTTGTTTATTTCATTAAAATCTATTATAAAACACTTGCATCCGAACACTGTAACAGAAAATCTAACGTAAAACATTTTTTTCCCTTAATGTATGTTCAATTTATTACCTGTTTCAATTTATGGTATTTAAAAAGAAAAAATCGTGCATTTAAAGGTTAAAAGTAGTTTTCTGTCATGTTTTGTCGTAGATCAACATCTTCATGACGCACATGTCGAACTACGGCAATGATCGACTGGCGCTGTACACGTTCGAGTCGGTGGTGAAGTTTCTCCGCTGTTGGACCAATGTGCGGCTCGCCTCCGCGCCGCCGCTTGCACTCGCGCACAAGTACTTCCAGCTGCGACCCGATGAACTCAACCCGCTGTGGGGGGTGAGTACATTTTCAACTACTTCTCACCATTAACACAATAGCTAACCATTTATGTTACAATTTTGTGTATTTCTTTTATCTATCAACTGTTACTTTATCTCTCAATTGTATTTTGATATCTCAAAAGCTTGTGTATTCTTTATCTCTCAACTTTATCTATCTTTGTCTCTCAAAAACTTGTATAATCTATATCTCTCAACTTCTTAATTCTCCGTCACCATGTTTGTATCACAAGAGAAGATAATAAAAATCTCATTCTTCAATCTCAAACAATTATCTCTCACCGTGTTTCTCACATTTTGTGGTGAATGGTTTTTTTATAGTATATGATATCAATATAAAAATGTTTGTAGTATGTTCACTACGTTTATCATTAGAATAATTTTATATAGAAATAAACATGCCGATGCTCTGCATATTTACCAAGAATTTAATTATAATTTCATTTCTGTCATGACAATATAGAATGTTATTACAAAAACATATTGTAATTAAATGTAAGAGTCTTTATAAAAAACATAATATTTACTCGAATGAACCGACACGACGACCGCCCTTGATTCAATTTGCGGATGGATTCGCAGAACGAGATACGCCAATATGTATCTGCTAAATGACGTGGTGACATTGTCACGCCCTTATATACTAACGGCCGATAACTGAAACGACATTTACGTAACAGCGTTTTAAATAAAGCCACGCATAAACTCAAAAGTCTTTTTAAATATCGATGTTTGTCAGTTAAGGGCATTTACGAAGCGTAGTGTTTAAGTGTTGGTTTCAGAAGACGGTTACTTTTAATAAAGCACTGGAATATTTTTATCGCTGTTAAATTTCTTTTAAGTTTGTTGATGCAGAAGTAAAATAAACCAAATACTATCTTATACATAGGATATATGTAAAAGACTCCATTATTTACTTTTTAACTAAAAAAAATAATTTCACTAACTGCGATAAGAATAAAAAGTACGTATCCACTGTAATTCGTGATTGGAAAATGTCTAACAAAGTTCATTGAAATTAATTTCCATTAACTATTTCCAACTAAGCACAAAAGTTGGGAGATGCCAATGAACGAATGGCGAATTCGCACAACGCTTTGTGAGACTTAACTTTACCAACAGTTGAAGAGCTTTGACAGTAAAACGATTCGACATTACTAATAACTTTTTAAATCTCCAAATTATACTAGATGCTGCTCGCGTCTTTGCCCGAGTAAAATTAAAAATATACCCTATGTTACTCACTGATAACGTAGCTTATTATGGTGAAAGAAGTTTTGAAATCGGCTCAGTACTTTTTGTGTTATTTCAATACATACAAAAATACAAATCTTTCTTCTTTATACTATTAGTATAGATGAATTCTATTGTTATCGACCTAAAATAAAAAACGCAAGTTAAACAAAAGTTGTCGAAAATACTGTTTTCTTCAAGAATCCTTACTAAAAACAATACTATTTTTAATTAACTAATCGAGTTTACTATTTAAGTACATTTTTAAATAATTGCCTATCTTCGATAAATGACTTAGGATTCATTGCTTTACATTTATACAAAATAGGAATATAAAAGCTGAGAGTGAAAAGCGTAAAATGCCGAAATTTGCGCTATAAAAATGCTCCGTAACGCTTTTGAATGAGCCTCTCTGTAACAAAATACACAAAGTCAAAACAAACCAAAACTTTGGTCGCCACAATGACGCTGAAATATTTAACTTTCTAAATAAAAAATGTAATGTTTATTTTACTTTGGTTATCAAAACTAAGAACTAACAGAAATCATTATTTCTTCAAAGTTATTTTGGACCTAATTTCCTCGAACATGTTGAAAATGTGATTTCTCAAATATCTGCTAGAAAGGTGTTGTATTCATTTTTAATATCTATATCTTACATACATATAATTAAATTGGAGTGTCTGTTTGTAATGCAATAAAAAATTGTCTGTCTATCCGCAAGCCGCGTTTGTTCCGGATAACCTCCGAAACGGCTGGGCCGATTTCGACCGGACATTCACTGAAGGGTAGCTTACATAGACGGGCATATTATAGGTTTTTTTTATCTTCTGCGCAAACGAAGTTGCGAGCAACAGCTAGTTTACAATAAAGCGCAGTATATATAAAAATATTTAAAACATTTGTTTTAATAGTATTGTAGTTGTAACACAAACTATAAAGACTGTAGTTTGTGTTAACCACATTCGGAACACGTGTGACAAACAATTGTTGTGCAAGTCCCGCCTAACGTTTGATCGATTAACTGTTGAGGGCGCGTGCATTTGAACCTTCCACTATTGTATCGATTAACTGTTTCCATTGACACACTAGAATATTAATATTTATGTCTGAATTATACCTCTTACTTCCACTCTTAAAGTAATGGTTAGTAAAGTCCCTTAATGTGAGCTCGTACGACTAGACTCCCTAGATCTTGAGGGTTTTCATGTATTTTTAAGTTTTTTATTTACTTCAATCCTTTGTCTAAGTTGCTGTGTTTGATTATGGAATCATAACATAGTTGTGAATTTCGTAACATATCTTTGAGTACCATCTTGTCCATACCCTCCCTCTACTTTATAATTATAATTATCGTAAATGTTATTGATTCTAAATGTTCCAAATGTTATTGACACTAACGAACAATTCTTTGGTATCCAGAATCCGTGTGACGACATCCGTCACCGTCGCATCTGGTCGAAGAGCAAGTGGTGTGGTAGTTTACCGCGTGTGCTGGTGATCGGGCCGCAGAAGACCGGCAGCACAGCGCTGTACAGCTTCCTCGCCATGCACCCCGCGCTCGTACCCAACCTGCCCAGCACCACCACGTACGAGGAACTGCAGTTCTTCAACAATAATAATTATCTTAAAGGTTTGGATTGGTGAGTAAAACGCAATTAAAGTTAATAATACCAGTATAGAAGTAAGATTTTGAATGTTTGCGGAAGGGCTGAAAGACTTCTTTTATTATTTTGCTTTAGTCTGTGACTCTCGTGGAATTAAAAAAAAATCAAAAGCTTATGTGTTCTTCCAAACTATGCTCTACATGTCAAATTTCAATGAGATCTGTACCGCAATTTAGCCTACAAACTAATAAACTTCCATCCATCCATCTATATGTGAGATTAGTAAAAATAATTTTTTATACTAATATTATAAAGAGGAAAGCTTTGTATTTTTGTATGTGTTGTAATCACTCATAAATTACTAGGGCGATTTTAAAACTTCTTTCATCATTAAAAAGCTAAGTTATGAGTGATTAGGCTGTTTCATTATTTTTTTAATTTCACGCGGGCGAAATCGCGAACAATAACTAGTTTACTGTAAATTGGAAAACTACAGCAGTAGCACATGTGGCCAGAATTATGTTTTTAATATTTCAATATTTTGTGTAGGTATTTGAACTTCTTCCCGGCGAACCTAACCAACTCTAGCCAGATGGCGTTCGAGAAGTCGGCGACGTACTTCGACGCGGAAGTGGCGCCGCGGCGCGCGCACGCGCTGCTGCCCACGGCCAAGATTATTGCTATACTTATATCTCCTTCTAAAAGGTATTTTTATTGTACTGCAATTCAAATAATACATATGTTTTTACTATGCCTTTTTAGATATGTTGTAAATGTCAAAATACAAATGACAACGAAGTCTTTTGCTATTTGAACACAGTTACCCTTACTAAAGCAATTTTGCGTATTTACTGCTATGGACTTGAAGTTTACCCCCTAAATTAAATACCGTGAAAATAGATAGCATAGAGACTCGTAAGTAGAGCTTTTTATTAAAAAAATATACTCTGATTTGTGGCATCTGATATAACAAAGTGTTTGTTTATTAATATTAGTATAGGTTGTTATGAAATTACTATTTTAATTATTTGTAACATGTAGGGCGTATTCATGGTACCAGCATATACGTTCTCACGGTGACCCTGTGGCGAGGAACTACTCCTTCCACACCGTCATCACAGCCAACGACTCCGCGCCCAAGCCGCTTAAGGACTTACGGTGAGTGACAGAGATATAAATTGTATAGAGTAGGCATACTTCACACTTGAGAAATTTTCCTCATGAGCCTCACTAACGCTGTCTTTTAATAAATCTTCAAAACTTCAATATATATTTGTGCTTAGATGAATTTGCAATAGGTGTAACTAAATCATATTTAAATGTATATTTTGGGACATTATCTAGTTTGTATCATAACAAACTAGCTGTTAATCACGACTTCGCTTACATGAAATTTAAAAAACCTATGTTACTTAGCGATAACGTAGCTTTCTAATGGTGAATTTTTTTTTGAATTCTGTCCGTTAGTTTTTGAGTTAATTAAATACATACATAACTACAAATATTTCCTCTTTATAATATTAGTATAAAAGATGGTGCTTATTATAATTTTGTAGAATTGTTTTACAATTCAATACAAGGACATAAAATGGCAATAAACATGACAACTAACATAGTACCTTTACAAAGTTACCGGTAAAAAAATGTTCCCGTCTAATCTATATATTTCTTAATGTCTATGGTAACAATATATGAATATAGTACGCGAATGTTGCTCAGAACTTCCCATTGAATTCGGTGAATTGAAGCTGTATTCATATGCGGGGATTTTGTGCAACGACTTTCTCTTCAGATACTCGGAAGGCGCAGATTGCGCTCGATTCCTGCGCTTTTGTCTCGATATACGTTTCTTATATCTTTACATTTCAGGTCTATTGTTCTTGTATACTGTATACTCTACAAAATGAATGTAATGAATGAAGAAGTTTCCTCGACATACGATAGAACAATGAAAATATAGGTAGCATAGGAATAGCTTATGTCTAACTTTTAAAACCAAAATTTAAATTAAAAAAATTTTAAATGGATATACTTAGCATTCCTATACTAATGTTATAAAGAGGAAAACTTTGTTTGTATTGAATAGGCTCAAAAACTACTGGGCCGTTTTTCAAAATTCTTTCACCGGTAGAAAGGTAATTTATCTGTGAGTGACATAGGCTATAATTTTTTAATTATTTTTAATTTCACGCGGACGGAGTCGTGGGTAAAAGCTAGTTTTTAATAAAATGGAGCAAACATACGGCAGAGTAACCAACGCTATTAAACAAATCTCTTGCAATCATTTAAGACACCGTTTCATTTATGTTAACTAATAATTTTATTTTCATCGCTTTTGTTTCATGCATCGATCGTGAAATTCAATAAATAGAACAATAGGACATGAAACAAACATTCTTTCATACGGCATTATCTGCACAATACGACTCGGTTATTTTGTTACAATAGCTTTAATCACCTTTTATATAACTAAATTACGTACCTAAAAGTAAATAATATTTTTATTATTTATTTCATCTAAACTAATATTATAAAGAGGAAAGATTTTCGTTTGTATGTATTCGATCCACGTAAAAACTACTGGGCCGATTTCAAAAATTCTTTCACCTTTAGAAAGGTAATTTATCTACGTGTAACATTGGCTATATCTTTTATAATTACTTAATTTTATTTTTATTTAAACGCGGAATAAGTCGCAAGCAACAGCTAGTATTAAATATTATTAGATCAATAGGATCTATGAAAATTATAGCTAAGAAAATTATATTTCTTATCCATCGTATTGTCTCAATTCATTTTTAGTAACATAATAAACTGTACTTAACTAATAAACTTTCGAAACAATGATAAAAGTTAAATGCCGTAATAACTGTGCTGTTCCAATCAGCTTAACTTAAGCGCTTAAAGCTTTGCCTCAAGAACGCTATCCCACGACATCAAAGTTAGCGCATACCGCACCGACTAAATATGCAACGTATAAATTATTCGGTTACAGTACCTAAGTATGCGCAACATTCTACTTAGACGTAACTTAACTCTTATAATTTTTGTATGTTTACTTTAGGGTTCTACTATTTTAACAATAAAACTGCAATAATGTTATTCTCTTTCAAAGTGTTAATTTAAATATGTGACTTCTTCATATTACACAATTCAAACTTTACGGCGCCTTTTGAATTTTTGTGCCCATTTTTGCTGAGGTAACATCTTTCATGTAGCCTAATTTCTACAAAATTACCAGTGAATAAAGTTTGGATTGTATTATATGTATGACCTTGGTTAAAGTTGTAGATCACATTTATTGGGGTTTATTTATTTTATTTGTTCCGTCGTTTTTTTATTTACATATGCACGCCACCACCAAGATTGTCTATCAGTTTTCTCGTTACATTTCAACTCTCTTAGCGCACATTACATTGCAACTATCATTTATTGTCATTCCAGTCATATCTTTCATTTTTATTATATTACACATTAATGCCTTACAAAACTCTTGCATACTCATGCTTCTCTGGCATACTTCATTAATTTATATTATTCCCAACCGTCACCCCGCTCTGTCGCCACGTGGCAACAGATAAAAATAAAAAGTTTCATCCGTCTGACCTTTTGCGATGAGAGGACGGTTGGAACTTATTTTACTTCATAACGGTTCCATCTGTCACCTTATTGGTGATAATGGGACAAAAAAGAGGGAAGAATAAAATTTCTTTTCGCGTGGGGACAGAGCGGAGTGGCGGTTGGGAATAATCCTTTAATTTATAATACTACATATGATAAACTATGTTAAAACTGTTTTAAATGGTTGTATGTAGCAACCGTTGCCTGAACCCGGGCAAGTACAGCCACCACTTGGAGCGGTGGGTGGCGGAGTTCGGCGCGCACCAGCTGCACGTGGTGGACGGCGCGGCGCTGCGCGCGCAGCCCGCCGCCGCGCTGCACGCGCTGCAGAAGTTCCTCAAGATCACCCCGCACATCGATTATAACAACCTGCTCAAGTTAGTTATAACTTTACTATTCACAGAGCGTCGGTGGCTCAGTGGTTTGAACATTTGACTTGAAATCCCCAGGTCTTGGGTTCAAATCCCGCCATGTACCAATGTGATTTTCGATTTTTAGAATTTTCATATGTACATTATTTACCCGACGTTCTTACGGTGAAGGAATACATCGTGATGCAATCTGCACATATCGGCGAAGAAATTCAAAGATATGTGAAGTCAACCAACCCGCACTGGGCCAGCGTGGTTGACTATGGCCTAGTCACCCCTTATTAGGGTAGGCTCCGAGCTCCTCGGTGGGGACGTATAGTGAGCTGGTGATGATGATGGATTCACTAGCTGTGACTTCGTCCGAGAGCAAGTTAAAAATCTTTATTTTATTGTTTACCAGCTTTCGCTCGCGACTCCGTCCGGGTGGCAATACAAAAACAAAACTGAGTAGCCTATGTGTTCTTCCAGACTATCTTTTACGTCTATGCCAAATATCATTGGGATCCGTTAAATGGTTTAGACTACAAACTCTAACGAATATACATCCATCTAAACTTTCGCATTTATAATATTTGTATGAGAACTGTTCTTTTTTATTTTAGCATGTTAAATACAGTATCATCTTTTACTTCAGGTTTTTAAAGTTTTTTCGTTACTCAATGTAAAATACTAATTCTTGATTAATATAGATAAAAGTTGGTACATTTTGATTTACAAGTTTGATATCGTATGTATAGCTAAACTGATTTCAATTTGCAATAGTCGGGTACCGACTGCACAACAAACATGCCGGGGTTTGGGAAATAAAACAACTAAAAACGTTACATCGTGAATCGGGTAACGTTTGCTGTGCCGTTTGACAACTCACCCGTATTCCGCTCAAAAACATTTTGTTTGGCCGCTAATAGACATTCTTTTATCTTTTTTATCGGTTTTTCTTGTTATTTTCTATCTAAAAGCATGAATTATAGGAGAGTAAACGAAAACTTTCATAATGTAACATGCATTTTATTTGTTGAAGTAACTTTTACAATTTTTTCCTTTAAAGATTATAGTCGAGGACATTTCGTACCCTTTTTAGTAATATTTGACACTCTGTTATAAATGTAAAAGTTTGGATGGATGGATAGATGAATGTTACTACGTACATCTAAGTTTGACAGAGATGTTGAATATAATCTGGAAGAAAACATAGACTACTTACTAAGTTAATTACAGCGCGGATAAGTCACGGGCAAAACCTAACATAGAAAATTGTGTATAATGAAATCTTCTTGTTGTCTTGATAATGTTATATTCTTACAGTCAACAGCATAAGTGACAAATAACATTAATTCCAGATACGACGCGAAGAAAGGTTTCTTCTGTCAGGTGAGTGGCGAGAAGACGAAATGTCTCGGTAAATCTAAAGGTCGCGTGTACCCGCCTATGGAGGAGCGCTCGGCGAAGTTCCTCGCGCGCTACTACACGCCGCACAACGCCGCGCTCTCCAAGTTGCTGCTCCGCCTGGGCCGCGCCGCCCCGCCCTGGCTGCGCGACGAACTGTCTGGATAGCACGCGCTTGCAGACTGTGTGTCCGCAACTAGTGATGTGAACTAGGGAATGCTCCGCAGCAGTCTTTAGTAAACTTGCGATGAGCGGACTGAAATTATAGGTGATTGATTCATGCAATTTATAGCTTAAAAGTATTGATTTTTTAATGTCGAATCTGTATGTTAGTACTTAAGACAAATGTAACAAAAAATGTGAAAAACTTAAAGTTGGATTATTCCCAACTGTCACCCCGATCTGTGTCACCCCGCGTGGAGACAGATGAGAATAACAAGTTTCATCCGTTCCACCTTTTGCGATGACGGGACGGTTGGAACTTATTTTATTTTATAACGGTTCCATCTGTTGCCTTATTGGCGATGGTGGGATGAATGAAACTTTTTATTCTCACGTGGGGACAGAGCGGGGTGACGGTTGGGTATAATCCTTTTAAAGTTTCAAGTAAGAATGTGTCAATAACTAACTGTCAGATATTTCAGAAAAGTACAGATTAAAAATTATTTTTAAAACTTTTGTGTTATTGAGAATTCTTTTGGGTTTCAGTGCTGACACTTTTATCTGATCGTTGAAATGTCTTTGTTAATTGATTTTTAGCCCTCTGTGCCCGCTCCGCTTATCGTTCCGACCCGCTCATCGCAGGTTTAGTGACCGCAACCTTACTCTCCAACTGACATGTAACTACCTCATAAGAGGCCGCGAATCGACAACAAGTTGAGTGACATGTTTCTACGAGTGTTTTGATTGTCGTATATAATTGTGTTGTAAATGTTTTAAACTTAAAATGGACTTGAGAGTTAATATGGTTTAAAACCAACCCGGCAGTTGTCTATTACGTAATAGCATATTTGCGACTGGTCTTTATTGTATAGCTTTACTCGTTTTTTTTTAATAGTCAAATTTTATTTTGAAACTTATTAAGTAGGTTTAAGGTAACAGTTGTCCCATAAATATGTTTTAGTTTATATACCGTGAGACTGCTAACGTGGGATTTCAACGACGAAGGATTCATGCAAAATTATATTGCTTACTCGTTCTTTTTTCTATCAGAGTGAAAGAGATAACTATATGTTTTAGGCTTGCTATTTCGAAAATCTAGATGTTTTATTATATTCTTTATTGTGATGTGCGATGCATCGCCTTTTTTTAAATTTGGTTAAGTTATAATGTAAATTATTTACGGTAGCTTTTTTAACATTGAACTGGAATTGAACGATAATTCTTTACGAGTTATTCAACTTGCCCACATCCACTTAGCCATATGGGGTAGGCAGATAGGCACGAACAATGCTGCATGATTATAGTTTTATTTTAGTAAATTATTGTTATTTTTATAGTTTTCTTACGAGGCAAATTATCGAGCTTTGATTGTTCATATAGTCAATGTAAGATTTTAAATAGTGGAGTTTGTTTCTCATTCCATGCGACGGTTTGACGCCTTTTATTGATAAATTTAAATTTAATATTCAAATACTTTTAACGACAATATTAGTAGAAAAAACTAAATTCGTTTTGATACACTTGTTTCCAACAATATATTTTCAAGTGGCGTGTAGCGATTCTATAAAATTTGTTTTTATAAAAAAATATTAAAAAAAGGATTCAAAACTAACAAAAATGTTCAGGTATATCTGAATATAATGGGGTTAATATAAAATTAATTGATTTCCCAAATAAAAGAAGATTCTAAAGATATTTTGTTGTAACGCATCTTGTTTGTTGAAAGTAACCGTGGGTGTCTATTGCCAATCTCGTGCAAAAACATCTTATTGTATATATGTTTCGGCAATGGAAACTCATCAACAACATTCGTTACCTGGCACATTACATTTACTCCCGCGATATCTGTAATTAATTCTAACATTTGTACGTCTGGTGCCATATCAACTGTCTCTAACGGCACTAATGCAATTTCACACAAGGACAGAGCAGTCGACATTCCAGTACTGCTATTGTTTGAAAACGAGACAGAACTTTTACGATAGTAACATCCAATTGCAGTACTGCATAGTTAAGTGTGCTATGTTCTGTCTTCGTGTGAAATTAACACTAAAACATTGTCTTTTGTGTACAACACGCTAGTCCTTATTGTAAGCTATATGTGTAACTCCGAAATCGTGAAGTACAGAATGTCAGGATTTGTGTTTTTTTATTAGCAAATTTATTGCTCTAGAATTAAGGTCTCAAATTGCGCAGCTATAACAATCAATTCAGTTTATGCAAAGTATCGTGCAATCAAACAATTTTACTTATTCATTTTATTGTTATCTTTTAATGCATTTTTTTTAAGATTATTTTAAATCTTACTATGAAAAACATTTTTTAAGACTAAATAATGCAATGAAGTACGCTAAAGTCTTAATAAAAATTAGTTGAAAAAACGCATTAAGTCAGCAAAATGGCGAAATGAAAAGGTTAGAAAATATATCTCTAATGCAATCAATGTGCCCATTTGTAAACCAGCTTTTTATAGTTTTAATGTATTGATTTTTTCACAATCTGTCAAAGAAGCTGTATGTGTTAGTACTTAAAAGATAATTGTAACAAAACATATGAAAAACATATATCTATTTAATGTTGTATAGTACGTTTCAAATAAGAATGTGCGAATGAGTCGATCTGTCACATTTGTTAAAAGTACAGATTAAAAATTATTTTATAATCTGTGTTAATAAATTTCTTTTTATATTTTAGGGCTATGACGTCATCAGATACGGATTCAGGCACATTTTTATTTAAAACGAATTCATATTTTTTTTTTGTAAAAATGTTGTATTTAATTTTTAAGACTTATTAGATATTATCGTAAAAGAACAAAATGTGAATATATAGTAAATATATGAATATATGTATGGCCTTATGTTACAGTGTTGCAATGATTTGAATATATTGCCATCTTATATTGTAAAATAAATATGTATAGTGTTTTATTTAATAACAAACATCACAGAAAATGAAATATTTTATATCTCAAAAGATATACGTCCGATTTGAATAATAAGTATAACAAAATATACTAATAAAATATATACTTAACATAAAGTAAAAATAAATTTTGGGATTTTTAGTGAATGTTTATGGCAACATTTTTGTGAAATTCTACTTAGGAATTTTGTATTAAAACATTCTTTCATATCTTCTATACATGAGAGGATGTTTTATACAAGTTTTTGTACAGTGGAAATTCTACTGTAGCACAACTTGTTTAATTTGGCGAATAACTTTTATTTGAAACAAAAAAATTTTTTTTTCATTTTTACATTGTTGATTTATTAAATTTGCAGCTTTAATGTTGAATGTGACGGGTTTTTAACATTAAATTGTTAATACAATTTCATTACTTTACAATGAAAAAGTATTTTGATATATTTCAAAATTACATTTACATAATGAAACGCAAGTTTTTGTAAAATATGTTTCAATTTTAAATTCATAACGATTTCTACTGCAAATAGTAAATCTATAAACTTTTGAGCCAAATATTTTCATAGGACGTTCAATATTTTTTGCAAAACATAGTTATATCGAAAAAAAATAAAGTAGTTTTTCAGTAGAATAAATCGGTTATGTTATTTAGAAAATGTCTCGGAATTATTTGGCTCGTAAACATTGTTTATGTATTAATTAAATATTGTTTATATGTTAAATGGAATATTAATAAAAAAATGCTCTTAAAATGTGTCCTTCAAACTAATACATCACTTTATTTTATTAAAATGATTTAAAACTCATGTGACTCTTATTACAATTTAAAAAACCTACCTTATTGTTATAAATTCGGAATGTCCTGATCACTAGATGGCGCTTTACGTTTAAAAAAGAGAAGGAAGAATTAGTCTGAGGTATATTATTTTTACTAATTTATTTGATACCAGAAACTTATAAAAGCAAAGCTATTGCTCTCTTTTCTTTGCACCACCTGCAAGTGGCAACTAGTTCCTAGCCGTTTATTCATTAATTCACTGAATACTTTAAGCTGAATAGTTTTGAATTCGTAAAATTTTGCACTCGACAAGGAGTGGATACGAAGTTTGAAATTCATCCGCCGCGTCACTATCAACACGAAATAAATCGACTGAAATTGAATTTTCATGAATTTGAATTTTAACAGCCAATCTACCATTCGGATATGATTTCGAGTGATATTTATTAAAAAACCATCAACTCGATCTCTGATATCTCGAATAAAATTATTCGAATACCTACGTTCCCAAATTAAATAAATAACTTAGGTAAATTACTTCTACTCTCAAATAATACATGAATTGTTTACACATTTTAAAATCTAAGGGCCTGTCCCAGCATTGGCTGATAGACGCTCAGATAGTGTACTAAAATCCGATACTTCCATCACATATTATTTTATGTTGGATAGTTATCTGACAATAAGAATTTTGGGACAGGCCCTTAGTAATACATAAAATTAACAACGTACATAGAGGTCTTATATATCTATTTACGATTTAAATATCGCACGTAGCGTTTAATAAGCGATCACGGAGGCTTTATCTTTGAATTATCAACGTTGATAGATGGCGGCGTCTGACGCGCGGTAATTCAGTTATCGACGGCAAAGCCTCCACACCATAACCTAATATCTCTTATGTATCTTACATTCAGTTTCGATCTTAAGTAAATAATATTTAACACTGCTTTGCTTACGTAGAAAGATCAAAGTTAATATACCGAGAAACATGTTTTGTTTTATATAATACTAGCTGTTGCTTGACTTCCTCCGTGTGAAATTATTAAATGTAGCCATCGCTACTCGCTGACAACGTAGCTTTTTATTGATGTAAGAATTGTATAAATCGGCCCAGTAGTTTTTGAGGTATTCCAATACATACAAAAAAACAAATCATTCTTCTTTATAATAGTAGCATAGATTATAGATAATGTTTTAGGGACTCTAGTAACCTAGCGATATAAAATAATTATTATAGCAACTAATATTATAAATGCAAAAGTTCAGATGAATGGATGGATGTAAGACTTTGTCGTCTAAACGGCTGAACGGATCTCAATTAACTTTGGCATAGATCTAAGTCTGGAAGCACAGTCTGGAAGAACACATAGGCTACTTACTTCTGTTTATTCTAGTTCCACGCGGAGGGAGTCGCGGACGAAAACTGATTTTACATAAAAACTAATAAACAAACGTTTTAAGTCCTATTTCTAGATTTAAGTAATAAAAGAACACTAATTTTTATTGAACTCAGGTTTTGGAGTCATATATTGTCTGTTAAAAGACTGATGATTTAAAGAGATGCTTATTTCAATTCAATATCCATTTAGCGAATGAAAAATATCCACCTAAAAATCCGACGGGCTTTATGCTTTATTATACTCGGACATGATCGACATTTCGAAATCACTTTGTGCGGTAAAGCTGTCAGTTTTACATTGAAATGGGATATCATTCCGATTCTGTCGGGATAATATATGTTCAGCCCTTGTCAATATCGTATTGACCGATTGAGCGTACAAGAATATCTTAGTCGATTTATACAACTTTTAAATACCCAGAGCATGAACATTGAAAAACAACAACCCTTGTTGATAAGTGAGTTTCAACTGTCTAAATACATGTATAAAAACATTGACATCATTCCAATTGTATTCGTATAAACCTTAAATTGTGAAATAAAATATGTCCCTACAGATTTTTATCATCCTTTTTTATTTAGATTCGCACATAAACTAAAAGTGTCTTAATTCAAAGAACATAAACTTCTAGCTGTATATTTAGTAGGCTACCAGACAATTTTCTACATCTGTGTCCAATTTCATCATGGTCTGTTGAGACGTTCTGGAGAAACCTATTAACAAACATCCATCCATAGTCTTTCGCATCTATAATATAAGTAAGATAGATATAGTGTTTAGTAATTTATTAAGTTATTTAGGAGTGGACGTGTAGGTTATACACAAGGGTACCATATCACGGCTTTTATCTTAAACTTATAGACATTGATGAATGAAGGCACGATGTTAATTCAGTTATATCGAAGCGGGTAACATAGTCTGTTTTATTAACATTGGACACGTGAAAGGTTATTCAAAATTTTATATATGCTTACTAAATACGTTGAAAATTCGTACTATTCGTACTTCGTACTACTAGAACAGGCACTGATTAATACTATGAATATGGCCCATTGGTTAACCTATAATTTAGATCTCAACTGAAATTCAACATCTAAATAATGTTGGTTTTAATTAAGAAATAGTGTTTAATTACTACTAATTATTGCTTGCATAATTGGTTTGTGTTAATGTTTCGTAAGAAACGTACTAAAACGTAAACTGATACGATGAATTTTGATAATAATGTTAAATTTGTCTATTACAGAATGACGCTACGTTGAACATTTCTTCAAGTCGAATAAGTTCAGGTTAACTGCTTGTATCTGAAACTTCGGAGATAAAAGTTCCCCCTAACTCCTGAAACAGTTCTTCAACTTAAAGAAGCGAAAAGTTATGAAAGTTCATTTTAATATAACTTTTACATTTGAGACAAATGTAAGCTTTTATTCAGTAAAATGGAATGCAATAGAGTTGCTTAACTTAAATAATAAAATTATGATGAAGCACATTATTTTTAAAAAGTTATAAAATCAGAATCCTTCATAAAATTAATTTTATATCACATAATTCTTTTATTAATTTCCAAATATTATAAACTAACTGTTGCTCGTGACTCGGTCGGCGTGAAAATAAAGCCTATGTAACTCACACATATATTACTTTTTTAACGGTAAAAGAATTTTTAAAATCGACTCAATAGTTTTTGAGTTATTTTAATACTGTATGTATTTAAATTTTAATTAAAATACAAATCTTTTCTCTATATATTGGTATAGAAGTCACAAACAAATTCTTACTATATTAACTCGAATTCTTTTGTTTTTTAAGTCTATTAATTTTTTATTCTCAGTCATATGAATTAAAAAGGAAGGCAAGGTCGTATTTTCTCGCATCCAATTTGCAATAACTCCTCATTGAAGAGGATTTATGCAATATCTTCACAGGATGGTTCACTGAAAGCTGCTGTTATTACGCTCGTTCAGAACTTAATTTTACTTTTTATTATACGTATTGTAATAGTACGTTCTTACTTCATTTTATTTAGTTAGCGTACTTGTTGATACAGCATTATTTTATTATTTTAGCTCTATTTATAATATTTCAATTTTTAGTGCCCCTACATTATACCTTATGTCGAATATATACATTATAATGTATGTTTCGAATCCGAATGCAAGAAATCTTAAATGTTAATACGATTAATTAAGAAACAGCAAAATAGAACCGATAATAGACAAGACTACAGTCTGTATTTCTAAAGTTACTTTCAAATGGGCACAGAAATTAGTATTTCTCAACTAAAGTTAAAAAACAATACCACCTGGTGTTCGTAAAATTCTGTAGACGATTTATTTACGTGGTTGTTTTATTATTTTATTACTGACTTCCGCCCGCGACTCCGTCCGCGTGGAATTAAAAAAAAAACAAAAGAAAGTAGCCTATGTTTTTCAGATTATGTTCTACGAGTACATCTATGTCAAACTTTATCGAGACCCTTCATCCATTAAGGCTACAATCTCTAACAAACATCCACCAAACTATCTAAACTTTCGCATTTATAATATTAGTAAGATGTCTGTATGTAATTAAAACTGTTACGTGAAGTGATTGAACTCGAGGGTGCAGGATTATTGTGCCGAGTGATTTGGCGGAACTCCAAATATCTATTGCACATTAGGCACGAAACAACGATTTGATAACGATTTTGAAAAAACATGCTTAGAGGTACTTCAGTAATAAATTAAACATAAAATGGCTTAACGTATGCAAATGGCTTTGTACGTACTTAGAATATGGGTGATAAATAGAGGATTGTAAAAGTTTGTGTTGTAAGGTTTTGTTGGTAGTTAGCAACAGTGATAGTGCACGTGATAACTGTGCTCGTTAGCGAAGCTGCGGTAAAACATTACTTTAACTGCTGCATTTCACTGCAACTTCGCGATTTATTTCCCTTCACGATTTTTCTGGGATTTTCATCTCATTATCGTATTATTATATTTTAATATCAAATTCTCTTGGTTTCCACTCAGAAACATATTTTTTTCATTATTCCAGAAATATATTCGTTGATAGATATGCAAAAGCACCTTTGCGAGACATTACTAACTTAGGGTTAAATACTAACTGTTGCTCGAGACTTCGTCTTAAAATAAAAAAAAATAATAAAAAAAACATAGTCTATATTAGGCTCGTAAACATAGGCTTATAAACATAGGCTCAGTGGTTTAGGCACTTGACTTGTAATCTACAGGTCTTAGGTTCGAATCTCGCCATGTACCAATGTGATTTTCGATTTTTCGAATTTCCATGTGTACATAATTTACCCGACGTTCTCACGGTGAAGGAAAACATCGTGATGCAACCTGCACATATCGGCGAAGAAATTTAAAGATATGTGTGAAGTCAACCAACCCGCACTTGGCCAGCGTGGTTGAGTATGGCCTAGTCACCCCTTACTTACGGTAGGCTCCGAGCCCCTCGGTAGGGACGTATAGTGAGCTGGTGATGATGATAGCCTAAATTACTTAATAATCGTAGCTTTTAATAGTGAAAGAATATTGAAATCCCAGTATTTTTTGAGCTATTTCATTAATTACATAAATACAAATATTTCCTCTATATAAATTAATATTAGTGTAGTTAA